GTCATGACCAAACAAAGGAAAGTCAATCACAACTCTGAAATTTTTGAAATTTTCAAATAGGTAAGAATCAATATACCTTTGCTGGATGCTATTAAACAGGTTCCTTCCTATGCTAAATTTTTGAAAGATCTATGCACTGTGAAGAGGAAACTGAATATGAAAAAGAAAGCCTTTTTAGCAGAACAAGTAAGTTCTATTCTTTAGAACAATAATGCTTTGAAATATAAAGACCCTGGTTGTCCTACAATTTCTTGCTTTATTGAAGAGCATAAAATTAAAAGAGCCTTACTTGATCTCGATGCCAGTGTGAATTTACTTCCATATTCAGTTTTTCAAAGTCTCAATCTAGGTGAGTTAAAACCAACTTCTGTAACTCTTTTACTTGCCGATAGATCTGTAAAAGTGCCTAGAGGAATAGTCGAAGATGTGTTAGTACAAGTTGATAAATTCATTTATCTTGTGGATTTTATTGTCTTGGACACACAACCTGTTGAAGTATGTAATTCATTTCCTGTTATTTTAGGACGTCCCTTTCTTGCAACTTCTAATGCATTGATTACTTGTAGGAATGGACTGATGAAGCTATCATTTGGAAACATGACATTGGAGATGAATATTTTCAACATTTGCAAGCAACCTGGAGATGATAATGATTTACAAGAAATAGATCATATTGACGAATTAGTTTATGATCAACTTGAATCTACTTTAAGTAAAAATGAGTTAGATGAATCTGAAGATTTGCAAATGATTTATTCTAAGGAAGAAATCACGGATGAAACAAGCACCGAAAATGTTGATGCGAATCTTTTGTCAACAGTGACAACAGATTCGACATCTGACATCACACCAATCGATAATTATTTTCCTAACGAATCCTTACTTTCTCTTTGTCCAATGCCTTGCTATGATAAAAATATTAATTTTTTTGGTTTAGGAGATTTGCCAGTTGAATGGAGTACCCAAGACAAAGAAACGTTTTTGAACGAAGTGAAGAAATTTTATTGGAATGACCCTAACTTATTCAAATATTGTCCCGATCAAATATTTAAAAGATTCATTCCCGACAATGAGGTAAGTAGTGTCATTAAATTTTGTCATTCTGAAGCATGTGGAAGTTATTTCTCGTAAAAAAAGACAGCTATAAAAATCTTTCAAAATGAATTTTATTGGCCCACCATGTTCGAGGACACGCATGCATTCTGCAAAACTTGTGAAAATTGTCTTTCATTAATATCAAGTTTATGTCTTTCATTTCCTTTCATTTACTTAGTTAACTCTTATCTTATTTATGTTCTTATTTTGTTTGTTTATTTTTCTTTCTTTTATTATGTCTAGCTAAGTTTATTATGCCAAGGTGAAAAGGATACACTAATGGTGTAAGAATAAGTATAGTGTAAACTTAATATGGACTTTAATGTTTGATACTAACATATTTTGTATTTGTTATCTTGTTCACTCTTTAATACCTTGCTTGTTAAATGACTAATCTTGATTTATGTTATATAACACTTGGTACAACAAATGCTTGGCACTTTCATAGCCCATAATGTATGGTATAACCGACACCTGAGCTATGAAAGGAACTTGATTTGTTGTTAACATAAGTTATAATCATGAATGCTTGACGAAATTTACAAGTATTAGCATTAATTGAATAAGATGACTAATATAATCATGTTAACAATCTCTAATCTGATTGGAACCTCCTTTGTGTGTGGTTTCCAATTCAATAATAAGAGATCTAATTGGAACCTCCATTGTGTGTGGTTTCCAATTGAATAATAAGAGTTTATATTATACTTATTTGACATACCATTAGTGGATCCTCTAACCTTGATATTGTTTGTTATCATTGTTTAATCCATACGTTAATTTTTCATCTCAAAGTTCTCATCAACTTTTCTTTTTCTTCTTCTTCTTCTTCTTTATTATTTTTGTTGTTGTTATTGTTCTTTTTGTTATTACTACTACTACTACTACTACTACTA